ATCCACCTGGCCATGCCAGGCATTTCAGAAGATATCACGTCAACATTCGTTTGATTATGAGTTAATCTAACATTACATTTGGGTAGAAAGCTAGGTTTAGCACTACCTACACAAATGTCTAGTCTTAAGCATTTATTATGGTTTTATAAAAGATAATATTTTCGTTCTAGGTTGTTTAAAAAAATATGTATTTCTTATGATTTTCCAAAAATTTCTTGAACATTTTGTAGTAATCACTACTAGCAGTTTCATGTTCTACAGTAAATCAATGAATATTTCAATAACATTTACTTAAGAGATGAAATATTGATGGTATGTTTGACATTTCGTGATTCTAATGTTATTAGTGACCCTGCCTCCAAAAACGTCATTGACCCATAAGCAGTTTGATGCATAAATTGTTTATAAGTATGTGTTTATAAAGCTTTAAAATGTTTAAACAATTATTTATGTTCAAGAAAGATGAAAATGTCGTTTTTTAGAAGAAGCATCATTTTTCTCAAAACGAGATTTGTTGAAATATGTTCTGTTTGATAGAGGGCATTGCAGTGGAAAATATTAGTGTAATTTTTGGCTAAACTTTATAAAGTAGTTTTTACTGTATCTTAGAAGAATACTGTGATATAAATACTCTCCACTTCATTTTATTATTTAAGAACAGACGTGTGGTAGGTCAACACTTAATTCATATGATTCCACAATATCAGCTATATGTAACCGCAGACATGTTGCTGTTGTTTTTGTTTTGTTTTTTGTTATCTGCAATATCTAATCGTCAACAACTACACTTATAACGCATTGGAATAATTAGAAGTATTTACACTTTTCCAGGTAATACATGCTTTGGATTATTAAATAGATAAAAAAATATTGATACAAAATGCATTGTGATATTGTCATGTTATAATAACAAACGATTTGGTTTATCTGATGAAAATATAGTTTGTTTGTTTTCATTTCGAAAAACAAACAATAAAAAAAAACTATCGACGGGCAACAGTATCCAAATTGTTTGGACAAAATGCTAAGTTCCTGTAAGCTTACAAACACAGATCTTACGCAACTTCATTTTTTGCACTAAGCTACACAAGGGCTATCTGTGCATAACCGTCTTTAATTTTGAACCAATAGACTAGACTATAGAGAAGGAATCTAGCTAATAGCATCCACAGCCAACTCTTCGGCCTCTTTTTCTGATCGAATAGTTGGGTTTGACCGTCATTCTTATATCACAAACCCGGCTTCAAGGTGCGGAGCGCATTTTTCATTACAACAGGTAGCGAATCGTAAATCCTGGGATATACAGTCCACACACGCTAACCACTAGGACACACCCAGACACGACACTCCAAAGAGAGAGATGCTAGAGAGTAGACCAGTTGGTTTATTAGAATACTTAAATTTACCTGTGATGCTGCTATTTCTGTAAAGAAACAGTAGAAAATAAAATTTCTAAATTAATAACAATAACAACAAGAACTTTTGATACAGGGTAATTATTAGAATACATTAATAGTTTTTGTGCAGAACACATAGTAAACTTAAGTTTTAAATTCACGATTCTAATTATAATGTTTTTTTTTTAAATATATAAATGACTGATCGAATTTGTACTTTTTATATAATTGAATATAATTCCAAGGTGAAGTACAATTTTTATCACGTTTTTGTTAAGGAACCGTTTCGTCTTCTTCTGTGGTAGGACTTCAGTTTTACGTAATGTTTATATATTAGGTGGAAAGATAACTGCGAAAATGGTAAACAGTTGTAAGTTTGTAATACATAAAACTTGGAATAGTGCTGCTTTAAATCATTACTTAATTCTTAAATTATTGCGCCCATTCCCGAGTTGCTATGACTATCGAGTCAGAAGACTTACCTGCGTGGCTTGGAATGAGTAGAGTTACTGGATGAATTCCCTGCCTGTACAGTTATGAGTTCGAATCTGTGTGCGTTGTAATTTTATAGTGGCGCTATTGGGTGGACGAATGATAGGTTTCCAAGAATTATATAGAAAAACTTCGAATCGTAAAGTCTGGTTTGATGTCACATTTACGCAAATACGACGTGGCGTTTGCTACAGGTGTCAGCACAACCTCCAAGTCTTTCCTGATTGGTCAACGTCCGCCAAAGGTTTAGATAATTATGAAACGCGAGCAAGAAGCAGTGTGGGAAGAAGACAACAAATAAAGCACACAATTTTTGTTCATTGGTAAACTTCACCATCATTTTCCAATTATACTCACCTAGAATCGTTATGGTTTTCAAATGTGCATGCTCGAAACAGGATAAGAGTTAGAATGAAATATAGAGGTTTGTTCACATCAATATTTGTTAAGCATGATTGTTTATATACTTCAAACGCAGTAAGTCATGTTCACATAATTAGTAATGGATTATATATACATGTGGTATTAAGTAATGACACCAAATAATTATTCTTAACTCAAACACCTCTTATTAAACATTTACACTTGAACTGAAATATACTCTTGGATGTTCAATGTGTTTTCCGTGAGCATAAGCATTTGAAATTTGAAACCTAATCAGCTTAAAGTATCTTTACAGGTAGCTATAATTTCTGAGCAAGCGGTACATTTAGTTTCGATGAAGCGCTGTTACCATGCCACATACTTGTGTTATTGGAAGTACATACCGATAAAACCGCTCACATCTTCCACTTGCGTCAGTTTCACATGGCAGTATTATCTTTCTGAGAATGAACGGGTGGTTTCCTCCCTCGCAAACACAGCCGCTCATTAGAAAATTGAATTTGTATTAACTCTCTTTATGCGTGACAGGGTAGATCATATATAAACGAGAAAACAACTGTGGCATAGACCTCCCGCGGGACGTTTTATGGAGTAACCACTACTCTCATCACACACACACATACACACACACACACATATATATATATATATATACGACATCACCTTCGACTCTGGTAATTGGTAATTTGTTGTTGTTTTGTTTTTGTTTTTACGCTGAACAAATAAAATGAAAAATATATTAATGGTATTGGAAAGGAATTTAAAAAATGAGAATTATTCTTTAGATTTTCGAAACAGTCTACAGTTAATGTCATACTCAGTAGTCTGTTATAAATTAATGTCATACTCAGTAGTCTGTTAGGGAAAAAAAAGACCATACGTACATTCTCTAGATTTCTGTTAAAATTCTTTAAGATGTGATATTCTGAAATGTTCAAATAATATATTCGTAAATTAAAAAACAAACAAACAAAAATCAGTCAAGAATTCCGAGAAAGGCCTTAAAGCATCTTTGATTTCAATAGACATCTTTATAAAAAAATGTTTACAATAATGTTACACAAAAATTATTTCACGTAGATACTGACAATTTCATTATCTTGATAACACTGAATCAACAACAACATTAAAAATTTGGTGAGTTGCTTTCCTTAGCGTCTGTTCGTATATTAGCGACTCGTGCTTGTCATAAATTAGTGGCTGAAATTAATTGTATTCTTCAAAATTAATTGATAAAATATAGTACGAGTTGTTTATATCTGTCTAAAGTAATTTATAGAACGATTAACAGTAAGACATGTATATGTATATAATCATTTTCGTTTAAAGAGTACAATAAAAATAGTAATAACAATAAAGTGGCATATTTCTCCAGTATTAACGCGGGTTTAATCATTCGGCGACTTCAAAGTGAAACCCAGTCACACGTGTATCGTTCCGCTTATACGAATCAGCTTAAATGTGGTAATCATTGTAGCGATCAGATTTCAGCATAAAAGTTGAAGCTTTGTTCTATATTTGTAAACGACAGTACTAACTACGTTCTAGATGTAAGTTAGGATGTCAACGTTAGTCATTAACTTGTAAAGAACAGCAAAAACGACACCTATGTTTTATTTCATAAATAAATTAATTTACCTTACACGCACACAACATCGTGAACTTGCATATTATAGTTAATTTGTTGCTTCGAAATTAGATGATAAACTAATTTGAAAATTTATGATTTACATATTTTATAATGCCTCATAAAAATTCCTGTTTATGTTGAACGTTAATGGACCGGAAAGTGGATGTCTAAAGCAAAATGTCGAAGACACTAAGGTATAATTATATTTGGTTGACTTCGTAATTTATATTTCTATGCTAATTTGCGTTACGTAATTATAGTTTCCCTAGTTATTTCGGTGGGGGTATTTAGTAGACCAAATTGATAAAAATTTATATTACGTTTTTTGCAAAGTTTGTAAACTGATTATTTTCGGATATTAGTATATAATTTAAATAGTGATTGAAATAAAACTGCTGTTCACTTCCACGTCAAAGTGTTTTTTGAGGCACTATAAACAACCTGCTTACGATACATTTTAAAGTGCAATCAAAAACATATCGCTTTGAATCAGACACAAAACAGAGCTCTTATTATGACTAGCTGAGAACTTGAGCTCTGCACAACCATAAATCGTTTTGGATCATGTACTATAACACATTATGACTTGTTGATAGCTTGTCTTGGGCAACCTCAAATACTTGTGGATCATGTAGTAGAACACATTATGACTTGTTGAGAGCTTGTCTTGGGCGACCTCACATCGTTTTGGAACATGTACTAGAACTTTTATGACCGTCGGAGAGCTTGTCTTGGGCAACCTCAAATCGTTTTGGATCGTGTACTAGAACTTTTATGACCGTCTCCAAAACGATTTGAGGTTGTCAAGACAAGCTCTCCGACGGTCATAAAGGTTCTAGTACATGCTCCAAAACGATTTGAGGTTGTCAAAGACAAGCTCTCTCGTGTACTAGAACTTTTATGGCCGTCGGAGAGCTTGTCTTTGGCAACCTCAAATAGTTTTGGATCATCTACTAGAACTTTTATGACCGTCGAAGAGTTTGTCTTGGGCAACCTCAAATCGTTTGGGATCATGTACTAGAACTTTTATGACTGTGGGAGAGCTTGTCTTTTGCAATCTCAAATCGCTTTGGATCATGTACTAAAACTTTTATGACTGTCCGAGAGCTTGTCTTTGGCAGCATCAAATCGCTTTGAATCATGTACTAGAACACATTATGACTTGCTGAGGACTTGAGATTTGGTAACATTATCTTCAACCCAAACCAATATATTGCGTCTAAAGTATTTTAAAACCTTATAAAACAACCGTTTTGACACTCACGGAAATTTGTTTGCTGAATCTAACTGTGTCATTAATCGTAGAGTACCAGCAACAATAATCATATTTATGTACTTAAGAGCCGTATATTACTTTTTAAATGCATAACGTATGATTTCCCATGTTTATATGTTTTGAAACTTACCTATTGAAGCGCATGATATACCAGTATAACAAGGAAACCACGATTAGACTAAGTGGTAATACTAGTGATCCTTAGTGAATTGCATGAAAACCATTAGTATGTGAACGTGTACCACAACAAAATTACATTCACCAAAAATAAGCGAGATTCATGTACAAATTCCTTAACAAGCTGACAGACAATTCCTATCCATTGTATGTTTACGCCCAAAAATGTATGATAGGCATTGAGTTTCGCTTGGACGTTCCCAACGGATAAAATGCCCTGAGGGAAGCATAATATTAGGTATTTACGGAGTGTTTGATTTTAGATGAGTTTACTTAATTGAAAAAACACACGAAAAAATTAGTTTCAATTTCGGACTTTTTAACAGGGAAGAATCAAATGTGTGTATAAAAAAAAACAATATGATGTGTTTTACCAACAAATATAATTTCGCTTTTGAAGATCATTTATTTATAGTGTTTATTAGAACCGGAATTATAGAGTCTAGCTGTCTTGTAACCACATGAAGACCGGAGTTACAGTTTACCTGTCTTGTAATCACATGATAACCGGAACTATAATCGACCTGTTTTGCAACCACATGAGGACCGGAACTATATTCTACTTGTCTTTTAACCACATGTGGACAGAACTGTATTCTACCTGTCTTCTAATCACACGAGGACTGCAACTGTATAATTTTGCTGTTTTGTAACGACGTAAGAACCATAAGTATAGTGTTGTTGTTTTATACTCTTAATTAAGTAAGTAATGAGTAACCTTAATAAGAGGTTCGTATGTTGTTTTTCATTGTGTGTTCTGTTATTTGTAACGAATGTTTTGCAAAAGTCTCCCACAACATATGATTTGAACCCAGATCATATTATGATCCAACCATGGCATCAGAATTTTCAAGGCAAATTATTTGCTATGCTGTAAGGCTCTTTATTTTTTAGCGCATTATTTTTTTGGATGAAAGTTTTGTACCATTAATTGCAGATATTTGTGTTATACCACTGGCAATTTCTATTGTACATCGAGCTGCATTTCGAAAGTAGCACGCCGAAGCATCGTACTAATTCTTACATCTGTGGGCTTATAGACCAGCCCACTTCCATTCTAGTTGTTAACCCATCGTCAGCGATGGACATTTTTATTTCTACGATTTAAACCGTATGATTTCTCACCATTTATCGTTTTAAGTCATGCTTTATTTACCGACGACACGATTCTATTTTTGTTCTGCTTACTCAATTCCAACAATTATTCAGTTTGTTTTGTTTTTGTAAACTTCTGCTCTGAGACTACGTATTTTTTTAACTGCACATTATTTTACACGTTACTTGAACCACATTTCGTCATTTTTGGTTCTGTAGTTGTTTTTTCTATTTTCAATATTTTTGGTATACAAAGAACATTCTGGGTGCACAATTAGTGGCAATGAGTTGTGCAGATGCACGTATAAGTAACGTTTTTCTTTGTTACATAATTTGACTGGATCCAAGTTGTGTCGTTTAATTTTCTTCGGTGATATTGATATTAATGTTAATAATATATCAATGGGTTCATATATTTAGTTTCAGACCTATTGCCTATTCCATAAATCAGTGGATTATTCCTGGACCAAATTTTATATTATTGGCATGGAACTGTAGGAAATGTTCTACTTCAGACCTCTAACTTCAATTTTATGA